CATGCAATGTTTGGGATATAACGGGATAAGAAATTCTATAATTGTAATTTCGAATCAGAAGTCATGAAGATCGTCCGTGTTTTTGTTTGTGTTTTTTTTTTCAATTTATTTTTTTTTTATTTATTTATTTATCTTTTTTTTTTTTTTTTTTTTTTTTTTTTTTGAAAACTGTCATCTTTCGCTGAAAAAATATTAGGAAAAAAAACTTTTACAATTACATCTAACCAGAAGCACTTGAAGTTCTAAATAGTTCTTAACATACATGTGTAATAAAAATTCATTTCTTTCTGCCTGGGCACCCAACTTATAAATTCATGAAATAGAATGTAAATTACAAACGACTTCTTCACTTTTCTCCAACTCACCCCTATCAATGGGAAGTGCATATCTTTTTGTTATTCAGTGTTGATTACATGCACAAAAATGAGTTTAACCACATGCTTATGGGAAACGTGGGTTGAGGAAATAGTTTCCTGTTCTGTTATAATCCTGACCTAGCTCTGTGTAGGGACTTTATGTGGGTTGAACTCCGTCATCCAACAGTGATTTTTTTTTTTTTTTTTTTGAAGGGGGGGGGGGGTACTTTTTTCTTCTGATTTTATTTAATTTTATAATTTGTTTTTATGATTTATGCTTTACCGTTAAAAAAATTCAACACAAATACAGATTGTCTTTTAATTTACCATTTATCAGATGAATATGATATGGATGAAAGAAATAAGAACTGTATAATATAGCTTTAGATTTCAACAAACGTATGTCTATATAAGTTAAGGTAAAAAATATACCAAAAATTAGGACAAGTGTCGTGTTCAATATTTTTTTTTTCTTGGTGAGAACGAATGTAAAATTTAAAACCGGCTGTCATGTTCAAAAATTTGTATAACTCCCACTATAACATGTATAAGTAAACTTTAAAATTTTTAACAGGGAACAGTACAAAACCATACGGATTTAAAATTCAAATTTTAGGATTTTAAATGGTTTTTACATAGAAAATCCAACGCTTTATTCATTTACTGTACGTATATATACAACTGTAGGATACATTTTAACGATAAAATATTTTATTCGGGATATAACGGTTGCAACATTCACAGGCATTTTGGGCGTGGCTACACCCCCCCCCCCTCCTTTCTTTGATTTTGCAATGATTACATTTTCGTCACATAAAAAACAGTATTTCTTTTAAATTTCAGTCGAAAAGGAAACATTTACAAATAGCCCAAACAGAGATATATTTTTGCCTCAAATAAACACCAATTAATGTAGTTTTCATTAGAAAAATAAAGGAGAAAGTCTTCAGTGTCATGCAGCTAGTATTTGTATACTGAATAAATAATTTCCTCTGCTAAATATGATCAGTGCATTGCATTAATTGCAGGCCACCATTTTTTTTATTTCTTATTTACATGAAAACGAAAACGTGACGTTGAAAAGAACTACATTTATATTAAGCATGTTTAGATTGAAACCAAAAAAAAAATTAAATAGAAAATTTAAAAAAGGTCGTTTCTTACCCTAAGAAAGAACATGCACGTTTATTAAATGGCTTAAATTCACTCATTATAGTACATCTTGCCAACAAAAAAATTCCACTGTTTACACAATATACAAACGATAGATTCCTATGACGCAAAAACTTAAAAATAGCATGCACGGTCAAGGTCCAGAGTTTTCCATCAATAATGTTGTTTGGGGGTTATTGCGCTTGGAACGTCTGATAACAGCTTAAAAATCAAATAATAATTCATTAATTAAAATACTCCTGATAAGATGTAATAACTTTCCTTTGTCTTATCAAAATTTGTTTATAACAATTAATTTTTTTCAGAATTGCACAACTTTAAAATAATTATTAAAAATATCCGCATTTATTATTATTAGAGAAAAAAAATAATTAAAAAAGATTTTTCTAGAAAAAAAATCCCGTGACATTGAGCTGTCGATATTATATAAATAATTTGTAAGAGAGTGAGTCACTTTTAGTGGTTTATGTACAAAAGGAAAGATGTTCCCTACAGGTACGTTTTAATATGATTCCATTTTTTTTATCTTAGGGAAAAACCGATTAACAAACAAAGAAAAAACTTCTATCTTGACGAAGTTTGTATTACATATTCTTAAAATTTCACGAAGATCAAAAAATACAGCAAATGAAGCCCCTAAATTTTCTACCTTAATTCTGAAGGTTTTTTTGTTAAAACCTCTTATCGGGTATATGTGTTACTAAAAAGCGGAAGTGAGAACAGAGCGGAAAGAGTAACGGAATATTATACCAGGTTAACTCATTTCATTGATATAAAAATCATACTAGAAGCGTTTAGCAACAATTAAACATTATTACATGTATTGATGCATTACTGTGTGTTAAAATTGTTGAAACAGCAGTTTTTGAACACAATTAAATGCTACAACTAGTTTTAAGAAAACTTTAGCTTAGGTAGAATGATCTTATCAAATCGACTACAAACAGAAACTTATTGTACATTTCACAGGCCCCGTAAAAAAGTAGTTTCGGGGGAGGGGGGGGGGGGGTTCGAACTAAAATAAGAAAATTTGCCAACAGGAAAAAGATCATCACTCGTTAATGTCAGTTGAGGGAGCATAAACAGGAACTATTATTGTTTATAGAACGTGTATACTACATGTAAATTATATCAATTTTTTTTGGAACGGCGATGTTATACCCCTAACCCCACCTATACATGGGTCTGCAATATATGAATTGTAATCTTTTATTTCCCTCTTGAATTACATTTATGGATTATTGTATACTAGATTTATTTGTACGTGGAATGGAGCCAGGAGAGTGAGAAGGTATAGACACAAACTTCCAGAAAGTTAAAAGAGTGCCATCAAAGTCCATGGTTGACAATCGAACTATATATGGTTTATATGTTATCCTTTGCACAGAATACCAACACGTTCATCTAGTACCTGTAAACAAAAAAAGAATACAAAAACAAAAATGAAAAAGATACCTGTTTAGAATATCAACTTGGTCATTAACATCAATCGGCACTCACTGTATAACTTTACAATGCAATGAATTAATGAAAAAATTATATTACAATGTTGTGTTTGGATACATTTTCGTGGGTCTTTTTATTAAAAAATATTCATACTTAAGTAACAGCAAAGGGCTTCTCTAAAAAAAAAAAAATCCGTCGACACTTATCGATGTCTATATGTATTATCGATGCTAAACTTTATAAAATCATGAAATATACTTACAATTTCTTAACATCAATGAAATAATTTAAAATGTAAAGATAAAATTATTTTGAAAATAATATCGTACCTGCCAATTTATTTCAAAGCATGCCTCTTTTGAGTGTAATCTAAAAGTCTAACCCCGTGATCCATGAGTCATTTTTCTAAAAATAGTCTACAAGGTACATGTATATATATCAACTGCAGAGAAAATCTTACGACAGAAATCAGATCGAGGATAGACGGTAAGGTATTTATAACCTATTTAGAGTTCGACCCGTTTTGTCAGCTCGGAAAACGGCCGAAAAGTTGCGAGTGTTTGTCGTTGTTAAAACTTGCTGTTCTTGTCTTGTATAATTAATAATAAAAAATGTACAACGCTATATTTATAATGATTTTGAGAATATGAATTGATTTTCTTTGAACAATACTTTTTTGTTCACCTCGACGAAGTCGTTCAAGGGGGGGGGGGGGGGTAGGGATGATTAAAGTTTTTGGATCAGGTTAAAGTTTTTGGAGAACAATTCTGGTCTCAATTCTCAAGTAACAATATACCCTACCTGTTACATGGACCAAACTTGTCTAGAGACGAACACTACCAGACTAGCTCCAGATGCTGGATCTGACCTACATTTTATGTATGATGAACAACTTAGATTTTTGGAGCAAATTTCATTCCCAAGTAATTATATGCCATACCTGTACCCATCTTGCATGGGTGATGCATCACGAATTGCACATAGCAGATGCTATTACTTCAAATGCTAGATATGATCTACATTTTCTAGTTGATTAAACAGGTTAAAGCTTTCAGAGCAGATCTATTCACAAGTTAATCTCGGTTGAGATTTTTTCCAAGTACCATAAATTCAAGCCATAGTGACTAAATTTGCATGGATGATGCATCTTAATTAAGGATCTTCATTATACCAGACATGCTTCGGATGCTGGATCTACCCTACATTTTCCAGTTGATTAAACAGGTTAATTTTTTTTAAACATTTCTATTTCAAAGTAATGAAACAAACTTGCATAGAGGGATTCATTCTACCGGACCTGCTACAGATGCTGGATTTGTCGCTGATTTTTTGAATGATTGAAAAGTTTTCATAATATAGACCCATGCCCAAGTTACAGTAGGTTTTTTCAGACCAAACTATGTTTTTCTATTACTGAAACATTTGACTTGAGGCTTTGCCTTTCTTATAGATAGCATACTTCGAGGTGAGCCTCTACGCTACGATTACCTTTGTTGAAAGGACTTGTCATGGTAGAGATTATGATTAGAAAATATTTGAACAACTTATGGATTGATGCAAAACATCACTGAAATCGGTTGCAAATAATTGAATCTTACCAAAGTATAATCATAAGGAAGATTTCGAGGAAAACACGAGAATCTGTAGACATGAACTGTAGAAAATGTATAAATAAGCGTGTACAAATTGCAAAATAAAAAGCAATCATGGCACCTACATGTATAAATGAAAAAAAAAATACGGATATTAAAAAAACCCACAAAGTTTATATTTATGAATGTTTCAATAACTTGTGACAGAATATTTGTAAACTCTTCACTTGCAGATATGGTACACAGCGGCCGATAATAATGGTTTAAGCTGAACTGAATAATGCATTAATTACTCATAATAAAATAATTAGTTTTGCAAAGAAAAAAAATCTGAGGAATAAAATACTAAGCTGTTGCATTTATAATAAAACTGTCGGGTATTTTAGTAAAAACTAACAAATCTTCCTTTGGTTTTATATTACAGATTTCCTTGCGATGGATAATAATATAGAACCTTTTATAAAAACGAAAGTTAAAAGAAGCAAATCAGAGAATGATGCTCTGCAAACAGACTGGGGAAATCACACGGCTGTTGATTGGAAAGAATTCGTTGCACAGATGTCAAAATCCGGATCGCACGTATATGTTTCTAGATCCGAAAATCCAGGAAATGTTAACTCATATGCAGTTATTAGATTGCTACAAAAAATGGATGAGAAGTTAGACGAAATGTCAAATGAAATAATAAAAATAAGAGGGTCTTTGGAACAAGCGAAGGGCAAAGCATCAAAAAGAAGTGCAAACAGAATAAGAGGAAGGAGACCATACAAGGCATGGAATTTAAACAGAGAAAATGGAATGAGATCTAGGAAATTAACGTCACGTGAAACACAAACAGAAATAGAACAGGAAAAATACAACAAAGTTTCTTGGGAAAACTTGGTGAAAAGAATCTCTTTCGACACAATGAATAAGGTGCCTGGAGATGAAATAAAGGCATTTTGCAGAGGTTGGGGAGGTATAGAAAATATCAAGGGTTTAAAAGCAGTGGTCAAAGATCCATGTTTGGGATATTTTTCAGAGGATACGAATGTAAAATCACCCAAAAATGGCAAGGACTTCGATACGTTACTCTTCAGCCTCCTATTCAAGAACTTCCATGATGGTTTGTCAAAAGTACAGAGAGATATGCAATTTCGTCCCTTGATAGAGAGTTCGAGGAATTTTGAAGAATTTGTCGAGAAAGAGTTATGCTCCATTCAATCCTCGAGAAGACAAGAAGACGCGAGATCAATATCATCTGAAGAATCTCCTCATTCTATGAATTTAGAGCTTGTGCGCTTGGGGACTTTTAAAAACTTTCCTGCATCCGGTTATATTTCGACAATTAAACTCGCGAAAGAAGGGTTTTACTTTACTGGTAATGGTGACCGTGTTGTCTGCTTTGCGTGTGGATCTGAGAGGAGCAGATGGAAAGCAGGCGATATTCCACGAGAAATTCACCGCCAAATTTCCCCAAATTGTCCACTGTTGCAGACAGGTCCTTCCAATAATGTTCCAATAGGAGATGTTCCGAATGGTGCCAATACTGCTCAACATACGGAAGACACTACTCAGCCTAGAAGTGTTCCAAATAGAATTTCTTTGAATACTGGAGATAACCAAAACTCAAACCAATCTAATATCCAAGATGAAGGTGCTCAAAGGGACAGATATTTAGAAAATGTAAATAACAATGCATCGGAAACTTTACAAGAATCGTCTACATTAAACAGAAACAATACAGCTGCCATTTCCAATGGTGCGTTCAACACAACAAACAGCTCAGCATTGTCGAATGGTAACTCCCAAGCCTCATCATCATCATCATTTTCATCAGAAAATGTAGCTAGTGCACCGAAGAAAACAGACGAATACAAGAACTCAACAAAAACTGAAATAAACACCGTCCTCTCAAGATCGAGAAACATACAAGAAAAAATTAATGCTTTTTTAAGAGATTTAGACCCACTCGGAATTAACTTTGACCGACCAAAATATCCTGCGTACGCAGTGCTGGCAACAAGAGTGAGCTCTTATAAAGACTGGCCCACTAGTTTGACTCAAACACCACGTGACCTCGCTACAGCAGGGTTTCTGTATGCTGGATACGGGGATTACACCCGATGTTTCTTCTGTGGAGGGGGGTTACGTAATTGGGAACCAGGTGATGATCCTTGGACAGAACACGCCAGATGGTTTCCGAAGTGTGCTTTCCTGAGACAGAACAAAGGGGACGAGTTTGTTGCTCTCGTGCAAATAGAGCATCAGGAACAGGTAATGTTATTGGACTTATAATATTTTTTTAATTAATTTAGAAGCCTAATATTTCATTATTTTCAATCATTCAGCACTTAACATTACTTGCAAAACTTTATTTATCATGAAAATGGAAGAAAATACTTATTTTGATTGAAAACTTTTTTTAATTGATTTTACAGGAAGAACTTGAAGCACAGGGTGCAGGAAATATTACACCTAGTTCCTTGCATCAAGAAAGTGTACCCAATGGGACAAGTCATCCAGATGTCTCTTCATTCTCTTCCGTTCAAAGCGTCCTAGAAATGGGTTACTCCTTAGCAGTTATCAAAGAAGCTTTCAATCAACTGAAGGCCACTAAGGGTATGATATTTAAAAATATTAGGGGAAAAAAAAAGAAACATGATATAAAAAAAGTAAAAGAAAGTAAATGATTTGCTAAAAATCCGTGAAGTAAAAATATTAGAATTGCCATTTTCATTCTATAATTTAAAGGGGGAAATAACGTATTCTTCTTTTAAATACAACGGATTAGATCAAACATGTGTAGTTAATAATATCAAAATGATTTTAGACCCTCAAGACATCTCTGGAGAAGATTTGATGGACTTTATTTTGAGTAAAGAAGAAAGAAACAATGGTTTGGATATCCCTCCCCAGATATTTAGCTCCAGGCCCCAGGCTAGGGGGGAAAACATCGAGAGAAACACCAATGGTCAACAAAATGTGAATGTAACCTCCCAGGCAGATCATACAATGCCCTCCTCTGATCAACAGGTGCCCTTAGCGGCAGCAAATGGACATTCAGTGGAATCAAAGAATGAAGGTAATTATCTCTTTAATTGATGTACTGTTATAGATTTGTTTGAAACATTTAAAAGTCAATGTTACACATGTTTAAGTTTAAGTTTTTCAAGATTTTTGTTTAAATATGTATTTCTTTTTAGATGTTCCAAGGCCTAGAAATCAGGAGAATTTAGATTCTTTAAATGACATTTTACCATCAATTTCCCTAGAGGGTATGTACATTTGCTTCCTCTTTACTTAACTCTCTTTTCTATACTTATTGAATTTCTTTGCAATTGGTTAATATGGTCTTTTTGCATAATTTATTAATTTATTTTTATTTCTGTTAAATGAAATTCTCAACATAGTAACTATTTTTCAGACACCAAATCATTGATTGAAGAAAACAGGAGACTCAGAGACCTAAGGATCTGTAAAATCTGTCTTGAAAATGAGGCTTCTATCGCCATGTTACCTTGTGGTCATCTCTGTTGTTGTCCAGACTGTGCTCCGGCCATGCGGAAGTGTCCGATATGTCGACAGTTTGTAAAAGGGACGGTGAGAACATGGCTGGCATAGTTGGCATTAGATGACCCGAAAATCAAGGTAACCCACCAAATATCTGCATTTGATATCCATATGATTTCCAACTTCAGTACTGTTGTGGTGTAAATATAAATATGTGTAAATATTAGTATCAAATTTGAGAATCATGTTTGTCCTTTCTCTGCAACCGTGCCCCCCGTATCGAATATTACAAAATCGACACAACCCCAACCCCCCCCAAAGCCTACAGTAAGTAAATTAAATGAACGCGCCCTTTTCAGTTATTCAGAGGTGATCAATCTTTCTGCTCTTCTTTGCTGCATTAAAAAACGCGAATGTCAGAGTGTTCGAATAATTTTCTCTCTTAAAGTGAAAGTGAACGCTTGCATAAAATTGCTTGTGACCAAATAAGTCTTCCTTGTGACTTCGAGTTAGGTATATCGGCAAAAATCCAGGGAGTGTAATGTTTATAACAATATGAAGAAGGAGAACTTTGATTTCTGACATTTCACCAAGATTTTGTCACAATTGGACTATACCATCCCTAAAATGAACTTTTGGGACGTTTTATAATGGAATATTCGTTTTAGTGTCAGGATGAGGCAGGAATCCTTGGCAGTTCAACAAAAAGAGGAAGTTTGAAGATGACATTTAAAGCCATGTGAAATATACTTACTTTGATAAATCTATGAACTGTTAAAAATATTTCAAAAATGCATTTGGACATGAACGGACGTAATGTGAATATGTTTATCAGCTATAATCTGAAAAAAATATCAATAAATATACAGTGAATGTGTTCATGAATTAATCAACATTATTGTTATTCATGTATTACCTCATGTAAGAATGGTCATGTATTACCTCATGTAAGAATGGGATTCGACACGTATACATTGAATCGTCTGTAAGACTTTGTGTAAGTACCATGTACTTAATTCTTTTTTTCACAATAACATGACGAAATTTTAATTTATTTGTGTTTGTTTATATATATATATATATATAACATTGCAGGCACGATGGTTTTTTAATGAAATGGTTTTTTATTATATGAGTTTAATATCTAATGTTAACCGTGTTATTTTTTATCCTATTATATTTTCCTAGTTATTTATATAGAGTTTGTACTTGACAAAAAAATCTTCTAGTCAATATGATATTCAAATAATAAATTACTGTATCAGCCGATATCTATTAATTATGTTACATGTAAGTAAGTTATATAGGGCATGTCTTTTCTATATCTATGAATCGATATATTTATCGCAAATTTCTTATATATTGTTCCAGAGGACAAATATATGTCGATAGTTTAGTACCTTAATACTATCGGATAGAAAGACTTTTTACAGAATTATCCATTCGCTATCAATAGAATATTCTTTTTGTTCATTTTAGTTTTATAATTCTTTGTTTTGGCTATTCTTGTTGAGATTTTTCTTTTTTTTTTTTCAAATGATATATTCGCTCTTTATATGCTTGTTTTTATTCTAGTTTTTATATTCCTCGTTATTGCTAGTTTTGTTGATCTGTAAAGAAGTTTCACCTTCACTTTGTTATTATTTGTTAATGTTTATGCACATTGTTCCCTTTTACTTAAAATCTTCATATTATAAATTTTATTTATATAATTATTATTTTATATCGTTACATGTATTTATACACTTAGGCACTGGTGCTGAACATAAAACTAAGGGCAAACATATATAATTATATAGGAATAAATTTCTATTGTTGGTTCATACAGATAATGGATGGAATATTTTGTTTAGAATTTTTACTGAAGTGTTATATGGCTATGTCTGATGCTAAAATTGTCTACATATTACATTTTTAAAGATATTTATCACGACTTATTACAATCGTATGCCATATTTATGCCATATTATATGGTTACACTGTTGATCAATTTTTGACAAATTTGTTGAATTGTTTTATTATACTACAGAGTTTAATAAATTTGTTGTGGTATTTTTATTTGTTTTTGTTTTGTTGTCTGTTTAATTAATTCCTATGTATATTGGATATATGTCAAGGGATCAAATTGCTGAGCTGTCAGGTTTTCAACTGTCAACAAACTCATGTGTCTCGCTTAGCGACCTACATACATGTACTGACATTTAATTCCCAAATATTTACATATCGCTGACGCAAATGCTATAATTGGTCAAAATGGTTACCCATTGACGTACATTTCACAATAGGGTAACCTAAGAAAACACCTTGATGGTATTTGGAAATAATACAGGAACATTACCAAATAGGGATATCCCAATGGAGATTGCGATACTACATGTACAATGAAGTGACGTGTGTAAATGTTGCACTAAAATGTCTTTGAATCACAGAAAAATTCCGAAATTTGGGGTTAATGATTAAAAAATAGAATTTTAAAACGCCTATTTTATATGATGTTGTGAAAAAGGTATTAAGTTGATTCAGTGGAATTTTATCCTGCATACTCAATCAGGGGTGGATCCAAGAGTGAATGAGAGGTGGGTCAACTAGAGTGCATACACTTGTATAGCGCAATTTGCTAATGTTAACATGATTATTTATGGAGGGAGGTTATTTTGAAAATATGAACATAATAAAGACTCCGCTTGTTTTAAAAAATCCAAAGAAAAAGTTCTGACACAGTTATTGATGGAAAAACAGGTAAGTTTTATATGTAAATTTAAAAAAAATGCTACAGATGTTGCGATTTTTTTCCTGAGACCAGTAATGCTGTGATTGCTTGCCGGTTAATTAATTAAATGGCATGCATTAAGGTATTTCTGGTACACACAGTATCTACATATTCTTAATTACCGGCGTGGGAAGGAATACGGGTAAGTTTTTACAAGTATTAGGGGAATGTAACAAGAGCGGATTAAGATTAGCGAGAGTGAATCCTACTCGATCCTTCCTATCCTAGCTCTCTCTTTTCAGAATTTTTAATCAACAACGTTCAAGTATACTAGTATATCACAAAAGTTTTGAATGAGAAAAACAGCCTAACAGATTTTTATTTGACTTTCTTTATAAGTGCCCATCCAAAACAGATGTGTGTTGCATGGATATTTTCCTGAGTGGTATGCTAACATATTCTAATAGGTTGTCTTAAGGAGGTTGGATCCTGACATCAAAAGTAATGAGAATTTTTTATCAAGTATATTTTTAGAATTTATACACATAGCTTAATTAAAAATCAAAACAAAAAACTGGGGTCAATGCGCTTCTTTTGGCGCTACAGAGCATTGAGTTTGACCTTTTTGCACTGTAAAAACGTCTTACACATAAATCAATTTTTAAAGTTTTTCCTCCGATATTTTTATTCAAATAAGTTATGGGAACAAACACAGTTTTATTTCATCTTGAATAGACCCATTAAAATTTTTGACAACGAAAAAAATTTTTAAATTACTCTGCACGTTCAATTATTTGACCTTTTTGCACTCAAAAAATTTCATTTTGCTAGCATTACAAATTTAACAAGCAAAAAACTCATTTAAAAGTAATGACATTTTACTGAATTTAAGAAGAATGACTAAAAGTATCTTGTATATTCAGAAAAGAAAGTTAAAAGTGGGGGTCAGTGATGTTAATTTTTAGATATTACTAAAATAGTGCTAATTTTGAGCTTAAATTAGGGCTATTTTTTCTCTTGATTTTCACAATATATTTGATTTATTTATCAAATATGATGATTGAATTCATGACAGTTTATTAAATATATAATTTAGGACCAGTATAAATCAGTTCACTGCTCAAAATAATTCTGTGTGCAGACTGCATGTAAAAATAGGAATCCAAACTTAACATACTTTAAATACTTCGAAAGAGAAAAAATGATCATTTTCTTCTAAAAAACCTTCCGCCACAAAATATAGTTCCTCACTTAATGCTTTTAGTAGGGGATTTAATCATGGAGTTTTAACTGAATATAGTTTATTTGGCATTGTAGAATCCAAATTTATTGTAAGAATTAAAACATTACGCAGATTTTTTTTAAATATAGGTTGAAATAAAAATCTGCTCAAAAGCTCAGGAGCGAACCTCGTTAAAGTTGTTTTTTTCCCTATTGATCACATGGACAGATCTGGTGGGGGAGGGGAGGTCTGGACCCCCATGAATTTATGAAGTTATTAACTTTCTATGTAAAAGTAGTGAAAGATACTTTGGACACCTCAACCCCCTCGAGGAATCTCTTTAAAAACGGTAAGGAGAGTCATCTATCTGAAGAAAATGGACTAAGAAAGTGCCCTACCCCCACCTCCCACGAAAAAAATATTCAGGTTTTGGAAAGTTTTAGTGTATTTAGCGGGTGTGACTGGTCGGCAGTGGATGCTCACTCCTCCATGGCACCTGATACCACCTCTGTTGTTTTAGAGGTCCGTGTTTGCTCTGCTCCAAATTTGCACTGTTTAATGGACCTTTGAGCATGAATATTGTTCGTTATCTCCATATATTTGATTGATGTGGACCCCCCCCCCCTCCCCTTCCCACCTTCCTTTCAAAATCCGCCCCTGTCTTAGTATATACAAGACTTCCTTTATGGATACCTTGTAGTATATGGTCACTGTATTTCTTTTCATATTCTCTTGAAACACAAAGTCGGCCTGTGTTACATTAAAAGTTTCAATCTAAAGTTAAAACTTATCTGTAACTTAAACTCTTAATGTAACACCTGGATTATACATATATGTAATAGTATGTAAATGTAGACAGGAGAAAAAAAAATCCATAGTTCGCTTTAAAGTGTGTTTTGCCTAAAAATCTGAAGAAAACAAGCTTAATCACGAAAAAAAAATTGAAGAATTTTTAGCAAAAGATTCTGTATCCTACAAATGATGATGAGCTTGTAAAATTTAACTAAAAACTTTTAAGTGAAGCAAAAATTTTATCGACATAGAATCTCTCTCTCTCTTTCTCTCTCTCGCATTCCCAACATATATATATATATATTGTTAATATTTCAGTGCACTAATAAATGCAAAGAGTGCACTATGGATCACAATCTTCAAAAGTGAATCCTCTCTCTCTCTCGAATTTTTTTTTAATATAACATATTGCTCATCTAATTTAAAAAAGATTACCAGATTCAAAGCATTTCTATATTAATTTAATAGCTTGTCAAACTGAAATAACATCATTTTCCAACAGCTGGTTTCACCATGGTGTCTGTTGGGACAGGGGTTCCAGGAGGGGGTGTGTTTTGCGTGCTATTGTCCCCGGGGTCTGAAATAAGCATAAAGTTAAAGCATGATATTAAAAAAAAATTGTGTCAGCTTTCACACACTGTGGCATATTTGAGTCATTGCTTCAAAACACCGCGTGCAACATATGACATCGGCATCCTATGACATGTATTACAAACACCTCGCCTGCGGATCGAGGAGTTGATCTTACGTCACAGATTCGAATCCCACTGCGAGAATTGGAGACTGGTCCTTCGAATGGGACCGTTCCGCGTATAAGCTGAGGCCCCATATCACAGTAGATATTGGCACGTTAAAGAACCATCACTACTCAATGACCTTTTGAGTGCAAAGTATAGGTCTAAAATATGCAGTGGTATCGTCTCAACATACGAGTGAAAAATCCTGGAAAGGGACATTAAACAATCAAAGAAATAAAGACTTTAATTTTGTTTTTACTTACAATGACATAAATGGCACCTCTTCCTGCAATGTTCCCTCATGTAAGCCCGGGTGTTTTCATCTGAACAAGCTTCAGCGTGGTATGCATGACAAGAAGTGTCGGTGTCCTCACATGGGGGGTTAGCTGTAGATTAAAATGGTAAAATGCACACTACTAGGCTCATTACGTATATTTTGGGTAATTTAAAAATACAAATCTTTTTCTTTTTCCTTAGAGGTATTTCAAGACGAGATTTTCTGAAATTTTTCTGAATGATTTATTGACAGAGTAAAGGTTAAAAATTTTACTGAATAGCAGTATGATTGAGACAAAGATCAGATTTTATTTAAGGAATGATATTTTAAAATATAGCTACCCATGCAGATTTATACGGTGTATTTAGTTGGTTGGGGCAGTTACGCTTTATAAACAGGATGTGATGTAGGCAACCCAATTTATATGATATATAATTTTTTTTCTTATCCAATCAAATACCGCGTTATAACTAGAATTAAATTATTACATTTTCAACAGTGAAATACAGAGATTTATTTTTTGAATAAAAGTGATATCACATTGTGAAAGGATACCAAAGTGATATTCTCTCACAGTGTGAAAGGATATCAAAGTAAGTAAAAAATAATTCCTGGCCTGTTAGTAACTAAACTATCTTGATAGAAATTGAAACTGCCAATTTCTTCCCAAAGATGTTGCTAAAATCCATGTTACAATGTTTTAAATCTCACAATATTGCTAAGCTATGACGTTTCAATCACTCAACTATATATGACGTCACAGCCTATGACACTGTGTTAAGAAAAGACAGAGGCAAAGGGAAAATCAGAGAAAATGTAATAAACAGAAAATTCAATGTTTTGTAATTGGATATGGAATTTATTTCACTCGTGAGACAGGATTTTTTTTCATATTTTCACTCGTGCTTCGCACCCGTGAAAATATCAAAAAATCCTGTCCCACTTGTGAAATATTATTCCATATCCAACTACAAAAAATTGAATATCGTGTATGAATTTTGAGTTTAACTTTTGGAGAATCCGCGATCCCCCCTTTCATATTTTATGTTATATCACAAGATTTTCTTTTCTTTCACGCTTTCCGTTTCGCTTTCCCTTCCAAGTTTGTTCAATATCCAGGTGCCATGCGTTTTATCCTTAACAGGAATACCATCGAAAAGACTATAATAACTTATTGTACTTTTGTTCGTAATTATCTTAAGATAAACGTTATAAATGACTATTTTTAGCTACTTCTTGAAAAGTTACATAGCGTGAAAGATCATAGGACAAAAAATTTTAATATTTGCAAGGATACGAGTCAATCTATAATTTCGCTAATATTTCTTGCACTTCGTGAAATAATTTAATATAAAAAAGAGGTCCACTTTGATAAACTCACCTAGGTGACAGCTTTTCTTTTCTTTTCTTTTCTTTTTTTTTTGACCTACATGTGTGCTCGTTCAAGCAGAATATAATAACATTTTTTTCAAACCTTGACCTACTTTTGCGCATTATTTATACGCTACATTTACATTATGTATATACTAGAAATTCAGATTGCTGTTTTCATTTTGAAATCAGACATCACTGGCCAGATCATATGACTGCATGAATGCAGACTGAATTTTGGGAGAATGTCCTTGGCCTACTTACTTGGACAGTACCCGCAGCGGAAGGGGCAGTTTTGTCTCGCCCAGTCTTCATAATATCCTACACATTTTTTATCTACGTATCGCCAGCAGTTTAAATCTGGATTATCCTTACACCAGTCCACATCTGAAATTCAATCAATCTTTGGTAAAATAACCGGTAGTAGCTACAAATTACGTCTTGAAACTATACAGATTAATATTGCCCTCTCCTCCATACCGGAAAAAGATCGAACTTTTCTAAAAATCCCTTCTATTTCTACAAGATTCTATTTTTTCAAAATATTCAATAATTAACAGTTGAATAAAGCCAATTCAGCGCAATGTACAAAGATACAGCTGAACCTAATACCAAATCTTCAGACTTCGTGGCTTTAACTTTTTTCTGAAAATATATGATAAAAAAAAAGTATTTATCATAATTGTTGGTATTTATCTATTTGTTCTTCGGAGACAACATTTCTAGTTAAATATACTCTTGTTACCTGTAAAATCTGTGGAACCAAATCGGAGGCAACATAATACCCCCAGGATTCCAATGAAAAGTTTTTCCATTATTTTAATTCACGAAAACTTTGGCACGTAGAACTTTTATAATATTGACAGCAGGTAATTCTTCCAGCACCGCTCGGAGTGACGTCAGAGAAAATGTGGTTCTCCGATTCGAACTTTGACCTTAGCTATCTGAAACTTGTAAACAAATGACCTTATGTGACCTTTGCTGACTTATCTTTGACCTACCACGAGGTCATTAGTCACATTTGACGTAAGAATGTGTAGTTTATATAGGGAAAACATTCTTATCAAGTACATTTAGTAAGGAAGATGAATAAATGCGCGTAATTCATTGACATATGTATATAGTCAATTTTTCAGACGTGTGAATTGTAAGGACGATGCCTTCAGTACATAGTGGAACTTTAGACCATTTCTTCCTGTTTAGACCCGGGTCAAAGAAAAGGTCATAATTTTGCATGGACGTTTACTTTACCAAATGGAATTGAATATTCTATCGTTCTAATATATACTGTTAATTATCATAATATAATTTTGTAATATATATATATATATATATATATATATATATATATATATATATATATATATATATATATATATATATATATATATATATATATATATAGATGCTGTCTGGCAAAAATGACGCTCTGATGCAAATAAATTAAATGCATTGTTTCTCTTTACAAAGTAATTTTAGCTCACCTGAGCCAATGACTCGTGAGCTTTTCTGATCAAAATTTGTCCGTTGCTGTCGTTGTAGTATTCTTGTCCACAATCACTAGTTTAAGGGAATTCAAGTTAAATTTCTTGCTTCTTCACATGAAGGGCCGTACACTTTTTCAAGGGAATATAATTAAAAATTAGTGTAAAGTTCATAATTTGTCATAGCTAAGTCATATTAATATAGATAAAGAAGCATCCTCAGGTAGTGTAAATTCAAGTTTATTCAAATCATGACTCCCTGGGTTAGAGTAAGGCAAAACAGAGCCCAAAAGTTATACATATACATTGGAATATTTAGAAACAATATTTAACATACAAGTTCTTATATGACCAGCAGTCATGATTAGTCATATTTTATATAAAAGCATCCCAAGGAAGTGTATATTCAAGTATTTTTTTTTAAATCTTGACCCCTGGAGATATTTTGGGGCAACAACAGGGAATCGAAGTTATACATATGAAATAGACACCTGAAATATCGTTAAGAAACTTTTCTCTTGACCAGCGAATTTAAACCCATAGCTAGTCAGTATTTAGAATACAGAAGAATCCTCAGGTAGTGTAGATTCAGGTTTGTTTAAAACATGAGCCCTGAGGTAGGGTTGGACCACAATAGGGGATCAGAGTTATACCTAGGAAAATGTAGGAGATATCTTAATTTTAAAATATCTTCTCGAGGACAGCAGTTATGCCTGTATTGATATAGACGCATCGTAAGCATATTAAGGGAGTGTAGATTCAAACTTATTAAAATCATGTCCCCCGGAGGTAGGGTGGGCCTCAATAGGTATCAAAGTTATATTTATAATTTTATATACATATAGGAAGATGTAGGAAATATCTTTAGATATCTTCCTAAGAAAACAGAGCCACGATTAGTCACCCTAGAGTGTGGGTGAGACCAATTAAGAGATCACCAATAATGGGTCAGGAAATTTCAATTAAGGAATGTTTTAAGGGGGCCGACTGGGGTTTTCATTGCGCAATACTTCGCGCAGCATAGTAAAATAAAGCGTATTAACTCTTTTAAAGCAACTAGTTTTACATAATTTATAAAAAATAACAAATTTAGGAAATATGAGGTCAAAAAATCTAATTACGTTTTTAATTAACTGATTTTTTTAACGATTTTTCAAATGATGGGTAGAAAGACGTCGTAATAAGGTGTTTTTGACGTTATGAATAACCGAAATTCTTTAAGCGGGGTCATTAATTATGCCATAAAATAAAAAGTATAAAATGTATGTTCTTGGAATTTTAAACATAGGAAATTGAGAATATAGCAATCATTGTTACTATTTTTTATGTAAATCTGTGGTATCTGTCATGTTTTGTTTTACTCCATAAAAACAGGAAAATATCATGAATTTTGACATTTTGAGATGCCCCCTCTGGAAACGAGACGGTAGAAATTTGTGTTTCTTGCACAAAATGTACAATATAGTATTACCCATGAAATAATAAAATTTGAGCAAAAAGTCTATAGTAGTATTTGTATAATTTGCTCCGAAGTGCGAAAAAATGGTTTTTTCCTATATAATCCTATAGTAAATGTACCCGTATTTTGAGACGGTCCCTGAAAAATAACCAGACGGTAGATTTTCACTAAACTTGGCATGTATACTGAAGTAATTGTAAGGTATATAGGGTATAAAATTAAAGAGTTTCTCTATTGTAGTTTTCACACAATAAAACCCCAGTCGGCTCCCTTAAGTTTTGTGTGAGTTATTGATATGTAAATCACACAGACTTGTCACGTACGCATATTTCATGAAGCGCGCTAGCGGTTCATGAAAAATATGCCTACGTGCAAGTCTGTGTGATTTACACACCAATAATTCATACTAAACTTAAAAACATTCCTTATATTTACATTTTACATGTTCAGAAGGACCAAAAATATATTCAATGTTTGAATTATTCACTGCCCTATATCGTTACATTTTTATTAACGTCTCTGTAGCTCTTTGTGTCGTCACTTTAATTAGCGCGAGTTTCTCCGTGCATATTTCTACGCGTGAGTATACACGAAAATGGCATTCAAATCAATTTCACAGTAACAGTTGATTATAGTAGAAAAACACAGCAAATGTAAATATATAAACATATCTCACGCGTTGTATTTAGTTGAAAGAGATAATCTGTTATAATACATTGTCCAGTTGACGGATATCTTGATTTTTTTTTTTTTTCAAAACAAAGGCTTATGTCAAGGAAAATGATTTTCTTTACTTTTGAAATGTTTGATGCTGATAACAATAATTAAATATTCAAACAAGCAACAACCAGTAAAATATACAGAACACTAACAATACTGATTAAAATGAAACAATAAATTAATACCTGTAATTTTAATACATAGTTATAGATATATATAATAGCGTCGAAACTATTCACAAATTCAAAATATACATGTTCAAACTTAAGTTCAATATAATGAAAATAATTACTTGACCGCGTATATGACAGAGATAAAACTTTTAATGAGTTGAAAGACATACAGCTTTTCAAATGAAAAAAAATGAGTGAACACAACATATTATTATACGTGTGCCCCATTTGGATGTTTGATATGATTTAGAAATCAGGAAAATGGCTTTAAACTTCTCTTAGAAATGTGTAAAAAGTATTGTTTCAAGATAAATGAAAAACATATTATATTTTTTACTCAATTTTACACATGCGTTATTATAACTACGCAAGAGTAAGATTTTTTTCTCATAATAATGTGAAATATTTAAACATCCATTGTTGATGAGCAAATCCTTGAATTTATTACCGGGGGGGGGGGGGGGTGTATGATGCCTACTTGAAAAATTGAGGGAAAAATCCATTTCAGCATCTTATCGAAAAGAAAAAAAAACATCGACTTTGAAGCAAATGAAACATGCATAAAGATGAAGAAGTTCACACCGGAAGAAATAGCTACGTTTATCTTCTTCAACTGAGAAAGGAAAAATATATTCGATTACTCGAGTTTTCGGCTTGTCACCCGTAAATTAACGTCATACAATTCAGTCTTTATCTTCCGTTAAATTGCTATACATGTAGTTCATGTTTTTGTTTCAGAAAAGGGACATTTTATTATATTTTTTCATCAATTTAGAATTATTTAAAAAAAAAAAAAAAATGTATACAACGGATTCAAAATTAATGAAAATGAAAGACAAAAAAAAAAAAAAAATACTGCTGATTTCTTTAAGGAATCTCTCAGTCATGTTATATCAAATGACCTAGAAGAATATATTCCTTGATAAGTTTCGGTATTGGCAATTGTTCAACTTTTTCAACCAAGTGAACAGTACTTGGAGAATTCGCCAAGAATTTTCTGATCGTTATGCAACACAAAGTCCGTAATGTATGGGGAGATTCAGAACAGAATTTCAAGAGCTGGTACAATCCGGGGTTAGCCAGCAAGTTCATGAATTTCTCTTCTCTGCATCTCCGTAACAGTTCCAAGTTCACTTCTGCGCCGGACTCTAGAAGCATGTACGCAATAGTGTAGCTTTCCGTATACTGCAGTGACGTCGACAAAGGGGTGTGGCCATTTTTACCCACGTGATTTGGATCAGCGCCGTTCAAAAGCAGTAGTTTTGCTGTCGGTTCTGAGCCTGCGCGACACGCCAAAAGAAGGGAGGTCCAACCTCGAATTTGTACAGCATCTATGTCCGCGCCACTCCTGGTTAGCAAAGATGCTATTCGGTTGTTTCCATGCATCGCCGCAATATGGAGAGGTCGCAGTTTAGCATTGTCTGGCTTATTTACTGATGTTTTTGAATTTGTTCCACTGAGCAATATTTTCACCATTTCATAGCTGTCTAAATCTGTTGCGTGCCACAAGGCAGTGCAACCCCGGTCATCATAGTTACTGACGTCATATCCACCTTTCACCAAAGTTTTGATGGTAGCCAAGTGCCCATGAACTATCGCCGGAAACATTGGTGTAAGCTTCAATTTGTCTTTCTTTTTATACTCACGGAGGAAATACGCATAGTTTCGTACATCAACGATATATTTCAGATCTGCATTGCATTTGCTTTCGACAAGCAGTGCTGCAATATCCGGTTGCCTCTTTTCTAAAGCGACCTCTAGGAGGGTTTTACCGAGGCGCTCTTGTCGGTCGGTACTTCTGAATGCATGATTGACATCTAAGCCTCGATCAAGGTAGTCCTTAAAGGCAGTCGTGTCACCACGAGATATCACATCGAACAAACCATCTTCCATGTAATCCATGACGTCAAACTAGATGAATAAATAAAGTTAATCATCGTACTGGTGAAAAACAAAATAACGGTAGACATATTCTTGAGTAAAAACACATGTATAGATATTTCAGATTATTAATTTCAAGTTTCCCATTTCCTTTGGTATTTTTAAATCAGCAAACCAAATCAGTGTAGGTTACATGTCTATAAATATTCGAAAGAAGACATGATGTAATCCAAATACATATACATATAAATAAACGTGGCGATTTTTTTTTCCACCAAACATTACACGTGTTACATAATGATTACGAATGAAAATAATTACCTTGAATTGTACGTATACAATTCGTCAGAAGTGAGTACAATGTAACAAGTTTGTGTTCGAAAATCATGATAATCCAGGTTCCTTGAAGTATGTGGCACATGCAGGTGCATCAAAGAGCATTACAACACAGTATCCTCTTAGATGTAATATTTATCGATCAATCCGTCTGTATCATATATTCGTCAACATGACTGCAAAGAAAATAACATAAACGGAATGAGCACGAATTACATGTAGACTGTTGTGTACATTGCCGTCCATAACACTAAGAAGCGCATATAATTTATCTTTTCTCTGCAATGAACTTTTTCTTCAAAACACTTCATGGTAATTTTGTGGTATAATTCTAACACAATAAAACTGAGAAATAGTCTACTCTTTCGTTAAGTATTTCGCTATATAATCTATGCAAGGTACTCTACGCTATCCAATTTCAGACTTTTCATAATTCATAACCGTAGCTTGACACGGTATTGAGGTCGGCAACTAATCACATTTGTTTTACTCGTCTGACACTAACTGATCTGCAATGATATATATCTAACACTTCTTCTGAATCACTGAAATCTGATCAATTCTTTGTCTGATATCAGATCACTGTTATCCGTCTATTTTGTCATTTATAAACATAGAGTCTGACTGACATCAAATACACTGTATATTGACTTAATGAACCTCTGACCTCAAGCAAAGGCATCTAATTCATTGTGGCTTATGAATTATAAATCAGCCAATTGGTGAAAGTGTGCATCATGCATATTACATAAATGTATTGTACCTTTGTTTCCGAGGCTTAGATGAGAAGCATGCAAGCAATTCCTGCATGTGACAATGTGACTATTTGCTGTTTGAAATAATTTCTCGAGCTCCCTTAGATGATTATTAGTTACATTTAGTGTTAAAGAAATTGAAAAAGAAAAATTCACATAAAATTGACTTGCATTTATTTTTTTTTTTCATTATCGGCTATTTTTTTTTCCATTTGTTTGATTTGAGTGCTGAACATCGCCCCCTCCCCCTACCCTCCCGTCCTTTCCTCACAACGTCAGGGATCGCGAGTCCACTCTTGGTCGTTAAACCCCTGACAAATTTCATTCGATATTTTATGGGCTGACTGCAGCGACGTGTATTTCCTGAAAATTACAAATTTTGGTTGTTTTTCTTATCTATCAGTCTATCAACCAATCACATTAAACCTATCGGTGACACATAACCTGTAAAACGTGCATGGAGATGTCAACTGCTTACTTTCTGTTTACGTTTTATGTCAAGTTATGAAAGCCCTGATTTGATTAGTATACTTGTCAATGAGAGAAGCAAGTTCGTAAAATATCAAATAAAATTTGTCAGGGGTCCAACGGTCACAAGTGCATGGACTCAGTATCCGGCGGATGTTGTGAAGATTAGCCTACCCATTCTTGGTTCAACTGGGAGCTGAAAATTGTTCCTCCCGTATGCATCATGTATCATGAGAGGCTTGCTTCTAAGGTTGTCACCGGGTTTCTGCAAATGAGGTAGTGGGGGAGGGGTTTAGAAGCCGGAATTTTTTAGCATTTTAGGTAAGTCAACTTTTTAACGACATTTTTGTCCAAATATTTTAAAGACCTATGACACATCTGTAATTTGCCATTATAGAGGAATTATTTAGTGTGTCCCACCACCGCACCATTAATGTAGTGCATATACAATGCAAATACCATCCGCGTGAGTTAAAAAATGCGAATAAATGATATTTGTAAATAGGATTATGACAAGACAGCTGTTTGTAAATACATGTAGCTGATATATAATTGCAGATCAATATTTGATGTGTAAAGCATGTATATGTAGATCTACCTATACATAGGTGCAAATGAATACCATGCTATGCATTTTTTTTTTTCAATTTACTTAAGAACGCAAATTACAACATTGCAAAATAATCAATCAAATCAAAACTTACCAGAAAACTTACTGTCATGCTTGTATTCGGCTCATATTTGCGATGTTCTCAAAGTTGGCCAGGACTTTCGCGGAAAGCGTCATTGTCAACCACGGAACAGGTGCCCGTCCGAACTGTTCTATTCGAAGATGTACGAACCCGTACCGAAAAACGTTTTATTGATTAAGATTAGCGCAGTAAATTTATTCTCTCTCACAAAACGAATCCCTGACACCTACTTAAAATTGACATTAATACTTATAAATAACAATTGTAAAAATCAATATATACAAAATTGTTTAATTTAGATCCTTATTTTTGTAGTTAGTGCATTCATAAAAGAATATACTTGCTAATGCTTACAGATAAAATTTACAAAACGAAAATCTTAATTTTGAAATCTGGCGGGAAAAGAGAAAGAACGTTCGAATTTTCTCATATGTAAAAACTGGCTCAGAAGTTTGTGTTTCATCCCATCCTTTGGAGCCGTGTTGTGTTATCTAGCATTGTTGATTGTGCTCTGTTTGAAACAGATCAGTGTGTTTTAAGGTTCTCTGATAAAATGCCACCCAAAAGAAAGGTGTAGAGACATGTTCATCAGTTTATTTTAGTGTTCAGATTTTTTTAGGTGGACAGGTGCTTTCTCTCTGCAAAATATTAATTTTAAAAATGCATACAAGTTGATGGTGTATGTTTTTTCAGGAACCTATGGAATATAGTTTCCTGGTTTTAATAAAACCTGTATTAATGATTTTTTTTACGCTTTCTCCTTCCATGGATTTGATGTTTACATTAGTTTATTTGTGTTGAAAGGCACCTAGATCTACTAGCTGTAGAACTGTAGCATTATGGTTTTATATATTAGTCTTTGGCCATAACGCTACCTGTAATGCAAATATGATGCAATTTACAGCGCAGGATTTTCTGCGCACAGTTGGGGAGAATTTCTCCACTTTCTAGCATTGGTCAATCAACTACCTTTCACTCTCTAATTCTAGACATATTTTTTAATCCAAACTGTATATTTTATCCACCTCCTAAACCTTTACAATCATCTCTTCCGACCAGAAGACTTACTTGTTTTGAATTTTCTGCCATCCGACAAAAATTCAAAACAAGCGAGTTAATTGGTCTGTAGAGACAACTATAGAGGGTTAGGAGGTGGATAAAATATTCAGGTTGTTTAAAAAATATGTCTAGAATTAGGGAGTGAAAGGTAGTTGATTGACCAATGCTGGAAAGTGGAGAAATTCTCCCCATCCATGCACAGAAAATCTTGCGCTGTATATTGCACAATATTTGCACTACTAGCTTATTATGGGATCTGTAGCGTTATGGTCAAAGACTGGTATATAAAAAACCATAACACTACATCTGCAGCTACTAGATCTACTTGAATAGGCCTAGTTGATTTTACTAGCGTAGATAACATACGTCCCTGATATTATACACATTTTTAGCAGTGCAGTGTCTTTAGTATTCAATAGTGTAGTAAAATTGTAATATAATTGATAAATGTGATTTTTTTTTCAGAACATATACTGCAAATGTAAACTATAGATATTTATTTGTAAAACATGTAATGTAAATGTAAACTGCACTATAAGTTAGAGATCAAATATTTGCCTTAGAATGAACAAATAATGAATATAATTTCTCTTCTTTAGGCAAAGAAGGCCAGTGAAAAGGTAAGACAAATTTTGCAGCTGAAACATTATTTAGAGGATATAAGGTAGCAAAATGTAGGTTTACTATCTACAAGCAAACTCTGTCGGAGGGGTAGCTGCAGAACTGTAGCTCTCAGGTTGAGAAAATTCAAACAGATAAGCGAGAGAGCTACAGATCCAAGCATTGTAAAAACATTCTATTTACACCGCTCACTTCGGGTATTATTTCTCGTATTTAATGCATTCCCCTTAATTAACATGGTATCCGTTAATTAACCATTTCATAGATAGCCATGTGTATTTATATGTATTTAATCATTCAATAGAGTACCTGTCAAAGGTTATGAAATGTGGGTTCCAATTGTTACATTTAAATACCATATAATATGTGTCTTATTACATTTAATACTACATAATATGTACCTTTTTACATTTAAATACTACATAATATGTGTCTTGTTACCTTTTCATACTTTCTTCACAGACGCCTGCCACAGAAGATTCTGGAGCGGGAGACACAGCCACTGAAGAAAAGGTTTGATTTAATTTTGTTTATTCGTTGTTGTTTTTTAAACTTTCAAATTATATTAAAAGATAATAACTTAACAAGATTGAATTGAAACTTATCTAAATTTGATGATATACAGATTATATATATTTTTAAATTAAAACACAAAAGAATAAAAAAAATTAAGGTGAAAGTTCTTAATTTGAGTCAGACTGTGGCTTAAAGATGATGAATATTAAAAGAGATATTAATTATAAATTTTGCCTAAACTTTATCGATATTTTTTTAAAGCCTTCACCAAGCAAGAAACAGAAAATAGAGGCAGATGGAGATTCAGGGAAGGTAAAATAAGATCCTGTAAATAGACCCTTTGAAAAAAGTCTTGTGAAAAAGGTACTTGTAAAATGGAACCTGTAAATTAGATCCTGTAAAATAGTCTGTAAAAAAGATCCTGTTTAAAATGGACCTGGTAAAATGGAACCTGTAAACTAGGTCCTGTAAAATAGATCCTGTAAAATATACTATAGATTCCCCACTTTACCTAAGAAGTGAATATTGTGAAATGTCACATAGACATCAAATTGTGAGGAAATGAATTTAGGAGTCAACTGTTGAT